ACTAATTGCTGGGAGCCTACCTATTGTTTAGCACAACAACAAATGCGCGACATACGCGTTGCTACACACCGAAAACAAATTGTAGTTATACATTGTTCTCTACTCTCTAGTTTTCACAGAATTTGTTATAAGAGTACTCGACGTTCTCTATCAGAATTGAACGTTCGTTATTTTTTTTGACAACGTCCACATAGTTTGAGCCGGATATGTTTTTTTGTTGATGCTCGTCGGAGCCGGTGACGCAACCGTGTTTATATTATCATCAAATCTAAATCATCTTGATGTCCACGATAAATGGAAATGAGTTTTTAAATAATTTGCGGTGGTGTAAAAAGTTTTATCACAAGACTTTTTATATTTGGTCCGGTAATTTTAATTTTATGTGAGTTTTCGAAAAATTGGAGCATGGCCATATTTATGATAACATGTGGGATTTAATAGCGATTGTTATTGAGAGGCGATATTTGTGACACTGTGACACAATTGCGTTTGTTTATGTCAGTGTCACGGCAAAGTCAAGGTTGCTTTATGTACAACCAGGACATCGGCTCATATCTTTGATTAAGGTGAACTGCCCGACGCACTGGAAATTTATTTACATATATATATATATATATATATATATATATATATATATATATATATATATATATATATATATATATATATATATATATATATATATATATATATATATATATATATATATCAATGTCAGCTTAATGCTCAATATAATATAGTATGGATATTTTTGTCTTTACATATTATCTATTTGTCAGCGATATTTCCCACGATCGTCGATACCATATGATGATGGTAAATAAATTTATTCATAACTATTTACAACTCATTATCAATGTCTTTAGGTTTAAATTATATTATGCCCCTAATGTGGCAATAGAGTGTTAACTGCCTCGTAATTTATTCCAATTGTATCTATTGATTTGTCCATTTCCATAATTAGTCTCCTATCTATGGTATTTATTATACATATATGGAATTTAAATAATTTTACATAATTCATATTGAACCACATTGCTTTATAGTTAATTATAACAATAAGGTATATTGTGTATTTGTAATTATTTTTTATAGCTTAATTGCAAGTTATTATTAGGTGTATATCGATCATATCCATTAAGTGACAGTAAACCATTGTCATTGACATAAACAATTTTAATCGCGTGCTTTTATTATTTCAATATGAATAGTGTTTTAATTGTGCATGTCATTTGCATATGGCTTGCATATTTTAGTACTTGTTATTAATTTTAATGACAATATTCCTTCGGAAAACTATTGTAGTTTCACGAGATGATAGAATCTATAATGAGGATGTTCGAAGAAGATCTAAATAAGAAGTGAATGATGTAGATCATAGCGACTGAAGTGGTAGCGGAGTCAGTGCAGAAGATAGATTTTATAGTTTTGTACAGATAAAAGGACCGTGGAATTATTCCATTTTAAATCACCATTACTCATTTGGTTTACGAGAGAAATTTATTTTCCACACTGCAGTGGATCTTGAATGGCTGAAATAGCGATGACAAGGGAATAAAACCATTTATTGTTCTCAGAGTTAAGCTATTTATCAGACCGCGTAACGTTTATTTGACTTTCATATGCAGATTTGATGCGATATTTAAATAGTTTAACAATTTCTATATGCTTTCTATGTAAAGCACGTTCTTTTGTATATAAGAAGGTTCACCAAGGTTGGCCGGTTTCTTATTGGTATTTATATCGCTGCAAACTTGTTATGCGAGATTGTAATCTAACGTTATTGTTGATAACATATTTAATGCATTTAACTTTACTCACGGAAACAAAAATGTAGAATTGTCGGTTTTGTATATCCGCATTTTAATTGAATTTATTATTCCCACGGCGCGAATAGTAACAATAGTTAAGTAAATTATTGTATTACTACTCGTAAATGATAGCCTTTAATTAGAATGTCGAGATGAATGATAAAGAAATTAGTAACATTTAGTGACAAACAGCGACTGCACTGGGAATGGATGAAGCTAAAATTAATACAAGTAGTTACTACTGCAACTTTTATGAAAAATGTGAAGGACAAAAGTTGACTTTAATTTGAGAAGGGATAAGAATCATGTAGTCATATATTGTGACTTTAAAGAAATAAATTGTGAGAATGATGGAACAGCAAAGAAGATATGAAATTATCAAGACAAGAATCAAGAACAAAAATATGTTACCCTGATTTCAAACAAAGGAACAGGATGTATCTTTTTGAGCTTTAAACCATTTCTATTTGTCAGTGTTCATGTGAATCATATGAAATGTTAAACTAACGTAATGAATAAACAGATAGACCGACATACAAACAGATTCACTGGCTAGTCGTTATTTTTCTATATACCACATAAACTAGTCTCTCAGTTTACATTACTGCCACTCAAGTTTGTTTTAGAGGATCTTTTATTTAATAAATATTTAATTATTTATCTATTTTTCGATGTGTTTATTCTTTTATCGCTGCGAAAGATCGCGGTGGCAATTATAATCTAAGCGAAAACATTACAAAAAATGTAGGAATTTTTATATTATAATTTTACTGGTAAATAGACTTTTCGTAATTTATCTTTTTGTATTATTATAAACGATTAAGCTCGTTAATATTATGTATTTTAAAGTATTTGTAAAAGCAATGATCTTTATAGTTTGGTTAATATCATCATCATCATCATCATCGTATCAGCCCTTAACTGTCCACTGCTGAACATAGGTCTCCCCCATAGACTGCTATAAAGAATAGTTCCAAGCCGGTTGATTAATATGATGTCGCGTAATTCATGACTTATTGTTCATATTGAGTTTACCGCTCGTTTTAGAAATAGAAAATGTCAATGCAATGGAAGATTATCTAGTGGCTGCAAATTTTAGAACATTGTAAGCACCGGTGCATATTTTTATTTGTACTTATGCCTAGATTTTAACGTGCTTTTAAACAGAAAAATTAAACTTCATAATAAAACTTCTTATTTCAATATTGTAGGAAGTGAAGCTATGAATAATTAACCGTTACGAACCATTGATACATCTATCAACAACTATGTACACATCGTTGTATATCTACGTATTTATTTACCGAGTTATATCACACTAAATGGCGAGAACACGTCGGTGCTACTTTCAAAGGCGCTTTCATTGGCTTTTATTTTATACTCGGAAGACACCAATTTGTAAATTATTGACGTGATAATATATGATAGATAAGGAAGTAGTCTATCTCTATAATATACGCGATCGTTCTATTTATGAAATGCTAAAAATAAGGTTCTGTACGTATATTTTGTGATGCTCTTCCAACTGCGCGCTTTATCGAGACAAATTGCAAACAAGTCCTAATTCGACGGGGTTGCATTGTTTCACTATAAAGTTTCTAGAAGTATATTTTAAGTACGTTCACAGAACAGGTGTTTTTTTTTATCAACGACATAGATATGCTAAATTTCAGCTCAATCAGAAGCTAGTAAATACAGAATAAAGATTAAAAGGTAATAATTTAATCGGAAATAGGAAAGAAACTAGATGAAGCTTTTATAAAAAGAATAATATCGTTCAACAAACGATTAATTGATAGATAAAAGTAATAACTGAGAGACATTATTACTCTAATAATAATATGTCACAAAATGACCTTTTAAAACGATGATTTATTTTTAAAACAAATCTAATCGACAAAAAGAAGTGACGCGACTCGTATTACAAGAATAGACATAATATTACGTACTATACATACTAATGACATTGTTGCAGTTTTATACGACTTCCTTCGAAGTTATTAGCGAAGAACGTGATATAATGTCGCGTTTTAAACTCGTTTTTCGTCAATTAATTAAAACCACGTAGCATTGACTACGTCATTCATAAATAATTCACTCACGTATTCAAACTACTCGGTTTTTCTCAGTTCCGTTATCTCGAAAATGTGTATTGTTTTTATCGGATTTTCCAAAATGTATGCGAGTACATGTGTCGTATGATGAATAGCTATTGTTTGTGAGTAATACAACCAAATATGCATCTCAATCGCGGTTTCGTAAGCATCGAAGCTAATCTCGCACAGAAGGAATTAATTGCGGGCTCGGTTCTCATATTTGTTTGCAGTGGCTGCGATTACGAATAATATACGATGATTGTTGTGGTTTTCGCTTGCAAACTTTGATTGTATTAATTATTACATTTATTTTGCGTATGTAAGTTTTATATGTATTTTATTCATTGATACCGTTATAAGTAATTGACAATTCTAATAACTACAGTTTGTTTCCAATTAACATTTCTGTAAGTGTATCAAATAATTTCTAGCCGGTACTGTTCGTTATTCAATAACAGTGATTTATTTTTTTATTTATCTAGAATACTAATTCGTTTATTGCAACTGCATTAGGCAAATTGCCAGGATTATGAATTTACAAGGACGGATTATGAGTAAACCTAAAATTATGTCTTGCCAATCCATTCATAAAGTCCTACGCTTTCCAGGAAAATGATCTGTATTCTCAGATATAGTACTCGAGTGGATTGTTCGTATTTAATATGTAAATATACCTACAATGCTTATATTTGCACAAATCTTTACCGTTCAGTTTACATATCGTTTTATATGCGATCTTGCGAGATACGTAAATAAATACTGCCGAAAATGAATACGATTACGGGCGCATTTTTGTATGGTTAAGTAATAATTATTCTGAGTACACGTTACAAGCACATTGCAATTTACTGAAACTTTTGTTTGTATGTTCACACAGATGTTTCGCGTCGCGTCATTGAGGTTTTCTGTCGAAGGCTGTGAAACCGACTTTAATATTGTGTCGTGATAATTGTATTGTCTCTGGAGTCACATGCTCGCTACGCCGGCGTCTAGCCCGTGAGATCTGGGTCGGGGACCTGACTGGATCCGATTGTTGTCACATAGGTATAACTGACATGTTAAACATTAGCTATATTTCGAAAACTAATCTTACATTTTCTGATAAGCGGCTGAGGCTGCGGCTGTAAACTTTAAACACTGCTCGTCACCCTCTCTTTCAGCACATCACACGACGAGAGTCACTTCACTTTAAGTTTTTTTTTTTATTTTTTCACTGGTGTCCATTCACTGGCACATATTGGGAACACGAGTGTTCTGTGTCGTGTGTGGTTCGGTAGTGGTGTCCCGGGGTCACCGCGCCGGTCACTGGTGACACGTGTGGTCGGTAGGTTGCGCGGCGCATGAGTGCTCGCGGTGGTAGGGGGCGCCGGTGTAAATACTCCAGTGTAGCGCGTGCGCACCGCCCACGCACACAATGGTCGCGTGTACTCACACAGCTCTGGAACCGCTCGTAGACATGCGTCGTGACGTGCGCAGGAGTCGATGAGCCCTAATAACAGATATCGAGATGAAATTGATGGGTGATCCCGACACGGATATCGCGCTTACGGTGGTACTTCCCATTTGAATACATTTGTTTTTAATGCTTACAAAGTTTATAATGAAGCAGAATGCATGTTTTGCTTAGTTAGGGGTGGCGTATGGATAAATAAGAAATGGTACATCCACTTATTGTTATAATATAATGGTTAGACACCATTGGAAGATAAAACGATGAGAATGGAGTCAGATCAGATCGTCCATCATGAAGATTTTAAGACACGTTAATCAAGAAGATTTCTAGGGCGTGTAGCAACAATTTACGGTATATCGGAAATAGGGCACTTAGTCCCTATTATCAAAAATGCTCTCCGATATGCTCGGCCATTGATATTTTTTCTAGTCCTTATTTATTCTTACTAATATTATAAATCCGAAAGCAAATTTGTTACCTCTAGGAGTCGTCTTAACAGTTCAAATATTTTTTTTTATAATAATAATAACTGTCTTTATTGAATAATAAACTACATTAAGTTAGATCTACTAGCTTACGAACTAGGCCGAGCCTGTATCTGAAAGACCGCCAGGAGGTTGGCTTGTCAGAGTATATTGCTAACAATGGGGAAATTAGACCCCATAACTACCAATCCCTTCCCCCCAGAACTTAGGTTACTTTGTATCTCGAACTTTGATCATGCAAGTCTCGCGGGGGACTAATAATATAAATAAATTAGTGTAAGACAAGTAATATAATTAAATAATATGACTCAATATATTTTAGTTTGAGTCACTCATCGTCAAAGACACACCTCTCGCAGTTAGAAAACAGTAATTTCATTAGCTGAAATGAGTCACCTGATTAAATGTAAATATAAAAGTATAAAATTATAATAAATAGGTGTTTATAAGGTTACTTGTTTTGTGCATGCAAGTCATTGGAATTTACCTTTATCCATTAGATTCTGATGCGGTTAACCGAAGCAATATCGGATGCTGAAGAGGTTTAATTAAATGTACTCGTATGTTGTATATAATTTGCATTTCGTATATGTGGTTCCTGTTAATTTTCGTCATTATTTTTCCTCTAAACTGTAATCAGCACAAAATTGAATGATTTGATTGGATTTAAATACATTGAAATCAAAAATCGTTTCTGTGGTGAAACTCATAAAAAATATCTATTTATTGAAGGTAAAACTTTAAATATTGTAGTAAATAGTAGTAAACAGGTATAAACCATTAGTGATAATAAAAATGAGCTGTTTTATGGTTTTTTTTTTATTAGTAAACAAATTAAAATTTACTGTTCCTGTTTATCGTTTATGTTAAATATTTTAGGCAGTATTACATCAGTATATATAGATTTCTCAACAAAACTAGCAATGGCTGACTTAGTTAAAAAATGTGTTGCCGGGCATTAATCAAATTATAGTTTATTCTTATATTAGTGACTATTTAAATGTAAGTAGGAGTCGAATACTAACTCATAATATAGATATAGTTCTGATGTCTGGATCTTGTATTCTTATGAAATATAGAAACATTAGTCTTTCATGTGACTGAGAAATAAGTAGTCTATTCTCTTCTCCACCTCAATTATGTACTGTCTGTATGCACAGTGACAAATATATTTTCATATTTATAGTATTAGTAAGGGCTTAGGTGTATTTTTCAATAAAAGTTCTAGAAAAATTAGAAGAGTACATAATTTATTGTTTTTATTTTCATTACTAATTTTTAGTGTATAGACACTTCGGTTTTTATTATTAATGGTGTGTCTAAGTTCCACGTATATTTGGAATTATTTTAGACAAAGGAGGTTTTGGAATTTTAATTTGGTTTCGATACAGAAGATCTAGTCCACAAAAATGTTACGCAAGAGTACGGACGCCCGAGAGGAGTCAACGACACCGTGGCGTCCTCGGAAGGTCGCCACGCTGCATTGGCTCCCTCGGGACGCTACTGGACCATTGTTTTACAGGAAATAATAGAATTCTTATCTGCTACTAATTAAAGATACGTTGTGGGTAATTCTAGCTCTTTAATCGGTTCTTGCTCTTTTATAATTTTTTATACGGTCCGGTAAGCTAAGTCGAAGACGTCGAAGATAACTTAGAAATCCTTGGCACAAGGGGGCGCCACCCTCACACAAGTATTAGTAGTAGCTATTAGTGTGTTCGTCATATTTAAATTAAATTAGTTTAACATTTGTGAATAACTGTATAATTTAATTTAATTTTAAAGCAATTGACTAATTTCTGTACCTTAAAAATCCTGAACAGACGATGTGCCTAAGTCATAACAGCGGATTATCAAATCTACATATTCTGTAACTTTTAAAGCAGCCTTTCAATATCTCATTGAATAATACATAGGAATAAAACTATGCTAATTATAGTCACTACCCATGGAGATGTAAAATTATATATAGGTACGAATAGAAAAGAGTAACATTTGAGTTTCTTGCGGGTTCTCAGCAGATACATTCTGAACTCAACTGTAGAATATTAAAAATATGACGATTAAAAAGTCATAATAAAAAAAAGTCCATTATAATACTAAAATGTATTTAGTACGGCGTAACAAAATGTTGAGTTTGTAACGGAAACTTTGTAAGGTGAAATATCAAGGCGCTCATGATCTGTCCTTGATTCAAATGTCTAGTAGATTAGCTAGACAATAATATTTGTTATTTGTCAGGTCGTCCTAAACGGTAAAATGAAATATCCGGTACAATGTATTGAGTATATTATTGAGAGTTTAAATTTCATATCTAGTTTGTAGCTACACAGCGATATTTATTACTATCTTTACCAGAGGGAGACTTTGTACAAAAGTCGATTGCTTGGGTACCTCTGTCCCATTCGTGTTTCTACCGTGAAGCAGTTGTGGTTGCATTTCTGTGTTTCGGTTTGAAGGGTGGGATATGGCGTGAATTTACAGGGTACAGAGGAATAACACCTTAGTCCTCAGGAATGGCAACGCATGGGGGGTATCATGGGCGAAACAGTATACTCTGTTATGTCCATGGTACTGCTCATGTCTATAGGCGACGGTTACCACTTTCCATCAGGAGGGCCGTCAGCTTGTTTGCTATTCTAAGTTGCACAAAAAATTATATTATTGCTGCTTTTATTATGGGACAGTTCTCATACACTTTTGCAGTATATACTATTTTATTCTGGCCCGAAGACTAAAAGAGTGGATGTTGGATGAAGTGTATCTAAAAATAGACCTTTAGCTAAAGAATGAAAATGTTCAAAATATATAGAGGTGTTATTGTTTTTTTTTATAAGTTACGTATTGGTGTTTTAAGTAACTTATTCTATAGCAATTAGTGAATTTGAGTTGGTCTGAAGACTATGGTGGCCAGACATAACAATCATTGATAACAGGCGTATGTATATATAATTAGTCCTCTAGCTACAGCCTAACTCAAAGACATAGGTGACATACTATATGTTCTTATCGTTTTAAAGTTCGTCCAAAATTGAGCGGGCAAAGCATGACCCATACAGTCTAGTCATAATATTTTCGGAAACAAAACATTTCTACTATATGTGGTAGCTTGTAATTAGCTTATTGTTTGTCATATATTATTAATTATTAAGTTCTTATAGCTGTAAGTTTCCTTCAAAAATAATAAATAAATAAATTTTTATTTTTAAGCATCACTCAAGACATTCCTAGAAGTTTGTATATAACAAATTACTGACCTTTAATAGACCTGTACTCGTATGAAACGATGTAGTACATAACTATGCAATGCTAATGTTGCTATCTTAAGAAATGTCAGGGAAGGGCGACGATCCGCCCCTTGGTTCGAATAGTGCATTTCGAATGTCTACTGATAGTAATGCAGCGTAAATATCAAAGTTATACGTAAATATCAAATTCTCTGTAACATGTTTACATTTGGCGGGATCTTTATCTTGATTATACAGGGTCGCAAGTGTACTTCTCGCGAAGTATGTATTTCTAATGAGATCTCTCAAGAAATGTTTCAATTAATGGAAATAACAATAAATTGTACAATAATATTGCCAATTCTACTTAAGAAACAGATAAGAATTCCAAGATAATCATTTGGATCTGGAATAAGCGCACTGTTATCAACTTTTGTTGATTTTAGTTTCTTTTCTGTTATGTATGTCATTATTTGTTATTCCAATTATTGTACTATAGTCATCGATGACTAATATCTAACTAGATTTACAGCCATCTTGTAAATCTAGGCAAATAATGCCCAAACTCGACCCGGTTGTGACAAGGCCATACATTTTTCGATAGTAATGTTTTTAAATAGCAAAAGTCTCAACTGCATTCGGCTCTTTGTTTATGATTTTTATCCAAGACTTGCTGCGTATTGTACAATGTTTATTTCGTAAAATTTGTACAAACAGGTGGGCTGAGATACCATCAAAAGTAATTTCGGAATTTGGTGTGTATACTTAAACTCAAATTGTACATGAATAGTGATGTTTTATTTCGAATAGTTTATTATTTGTTTTGAATAAATACTATTTCTATTTTATTCTTTCTCATAGACAACATTATTATTAGTCATACATTTTTTTCATATTAAACTTTAATAGACAGTTCGAATATATTGTACATAAAATGCACTAATAAATTCGTGTTTTGTTCGGGTTAGAATTTTTGGACTAATTTTCATGGTAGGCGGTCCGCCGGCGGCTGTATGTCTCACCGAATAACGGACAGTTCACTTAGATTATGTAATCGAATATTCATCACGCCTTTTGCTTCGTTATCGTATAATTTTATCATCCGCATGAGGTCTCTCTTGGTATTTTTATCGATATTTATGATCGATTTTATATTAATACATGCCAGTT